GCAGCTGGGAGAATTCATGGGGCGAAAGGGAAGGCGAGCAGGAGGAGGGCGAGGAGTGGGGACTGTGTGGGCGGTGGGGAAGAGGGGGGAGGTGGGTTTGGCGAAGGTGATTGCGGGGGTGTGTGGGAGGAGGTGCAGTCGTGGTTCGTGGTGGCAATGCTACCGGCCGGTGCCATGGAGGGAGGCGGGCCTGCCTGCAGCGGCAGCCAGTCAATGAAGCGTGCTACAACAGCACACAAGAAACTGATTGCCAAGATGTTTGACTGCTCTGTGCTGCCCAGGTTCTGTGAAGACTTGAAGCACACGGGTGGGCCTGGCAGTGCCTGTGGCAGTAGCGGCAGCAAACGGAAGGGCAAGAAGGCGGAGGAGGCAGCTTATCTGAAGGCGTGGCCGGGGGGAGTCAATCTGGTGGCTTGTCTACGAGAGATGCTGCTGGGGGAGCCTTGCTACCACCCGGCCTCCAATGCTGCTCGCTCCACCTCAGCTGCTGTAAGCACTCGTGCTGCGTTGTCAGCTGCTGCACCAGGATGCTCAGCTACCGCTGCACCTTCTTCTGACCAGTCAACCACTATCGACACACTGAGCACAACTGCATCAGACGTTTCAACAAATGTTGAAATGCAGCTGAGCGTAACTTCAAAAGTTGAAGCCAATGGTGCTGCTGCTTGTGGGGGCTGCGTGTGTTGTGCAACTGCCACGCAAGGCTCTGGTCCTGGGCCTAGTAGGGGGCGTGAGTGCGGTGCTGCAGGGTGTGGGAGGGTGGAGGGTGGTGATGTGAAGCTGAGGAGTTGCGGGGGGTGTGTCAAGGTGGCGTATTGAAGCAGAGAGTGCCAAAAGGCGTACTGGCCCTCCCACAAACCCACATGCCCTGGGAGGACCAACGGGAAGAGAAAAGGAAAAGACGGTGGCAAGGTGAGTGGCAGGAGGAAGGTGAAGGTGAGGAAATTAGTACTGGATTTAGCAAAAGGGCGTTATACGGTGTTTTTGTCATATATCCTGCATTAAGGGCATGGTCTACAGGTAGCTCAGAGACATCATTGCCGGTTGAGGAGATTAATCACTCTGTTGAGCCTGTTTGCCAAGTTGGTGGGGCTGCACAGTACAGTGGGCAAATTGCAATTCGATAGGTCGGTGGGATTTCAAGGCATGGGGATGAGGGGAGTGTTACGGGGGGAGCAGGATGGGGATTGGGGGTAGGGGGGGTTGGGGGGGGAAAAGGGACAGATTTGAATCGCCATTGGAGGATGGCTTTGAAATTGCCCATTGTGGGCAGAGTCAAAGTTCCCAGCTGACTGACACGGAAAGCCAAGTTCCAAATGAACGCCAATGTCCAGAATCTGCAGCAATGAACGGGTGAGGCTCCTGCTGGTAAGACCATAGGTATGTGTAACTGCTGCTCTATGGTCTTAACGGTTTAGATACTGGCTCACGTGTTTCCTGCCTGCGACTCGGCCGATGCACCTGTGTCGCCGATTGATGGCAATGGCATTGATGGCTGTTGATGGTATATTCCTCTCTGACCTCATTAACTATGGATGGCTAAAGCTGTTTCAAATACTGTGTGTCCTCTATCCTTCCCTCCACAAACCCTCCCTCTCCTCCCCTCCCCCCACCCCAGCCTCAACCCATCTTACCCACAGACACACCATGTTTCGCTCCCGTTAAATTCTCATCACTTCACTTGTTTTACACTCGTGCACTTACCCCCTGACTCACTCACGCTTGCTCCGGACAGGTGTGAAGCATTCGTCGTGTGCCGTTATGTGCTTTCGCAAGACCTTCAGTCGCTTGTTGCAACTTTCTTGGATGGTGCTGTGTTTCGGATTTGAGACCAGGCTTGGCCAGACCGAGGCAACAACTGTTTTGCGACCGACTTCAGGCTTAGCCCGATTCATTATGGCTCTCACTTGGTTCTCATCAGGCCGATGTTAGGGAGGGCAAAATGGAACATTTTTTAAGTTGGGAATTGTCTGGTACAGTATTTTCCCAGGCCGGGGGCCTCTATGCGAGGGGGTCTTATAGTCAGGGAATTAAGGAACAAGGCATGATTGTGGTCTCACTAACACATTCTACAAGAGTATTGCATTGTCCCTATGCTGGTATCTCTTAACCCATCACAAGCTGCACACACGGCAGCAGAGGGCAGGGAGAAGAGAGGAGAGATGGACGCAGCAGGAAACACGAGATGGAAATGGAGACACGCAGGAGACATTACATGAAAGGGTGTGAAGCATGGGAGGAGTGTGACGCATGGCAATGTGAAGCATGAAGTTGCGATGCACATCCAACCATCACAAAGATTTTTTTCCCATACTAGTCATGGCTACTGCACATGCAAATCCCATCTTTCCTTACCAGCCTGCAATGCACCTCTCACCTTGCCTGGACTTTTTACCATACCTGCTCCTATTCCCTTTGCTACCTCAAAGTGAAAGCGCAACATGCCATGCAGATTATTATGAATGTCTCATCTTAGGATGCCTCACTTTGCCTTTAGCCCGTCTCACCTTGAGCATGTCTATTAGGAAGTTGGGTGCTGCTACAGGTTGCGGCACTTAAAAGAGGCAATGTCGTCCAGAAGCTGTGGGGCGAGGCCAACCAAAGAGGGTTGAACTAAATGCACAGTTACAGGCAAGAAGGGAAGGCGGGGGGAGTTGGGGAGGCGTGAAGGGGGTCATTAGACGAGCAGAGGAAAAATACATCTCAGGAGGTATAGAGCAGCGCTTCCAAAGGCAAAAGTGTAGGGTGCAAGGAGGGCACAGGGCCAACAGAGTTCTGAGGCGCCTCAGAGCAAAGGAGGGCTTAGGATCCAGCAGGGAGTGCACATGAGTAGTTCCAAGGGCAAAGGCAATGGCAGGGAAGCAGTTGAAGGGGATAGGGACAGCGAGGGGGAGGGACGACACAAGACAAGAGAGGGGTGAAGAAGTGAGTGAAGTGTTAGAGGAGAAAGGAACGAATGGTTTGAGTATCGAGAGAGTTGGGTACAAGGATGAGAACCCTATGGGGTTGTACCCTACATTGGCTACCCCACTACAGCCTACACCTAATTATAGTTCATATATAGTTTGACAAGAAGTCGCCAAGAGTAGGGCACCGCTGCAGTGAGAAAGTAAGGCGTGATGAAGTGAGGAGGTAAGGCGTGATGAAGTGAGGAAAGAGGACTTCTTGAATACAGGAGGGAAGGCAGAGTCGCGCAAAAAGGACAGCTCATAGTGGTGGTGAAGATGAGACAACAGTGATGGTACCTGCGATCAGATCTGAACAATGGTGAGGAAATGAGGGGAGAGTGTTGAGGGAGGGAAATAAACAGCCGATGATACAACATCGATGGCGCCCTGCAATCGATACCTACATATCCACCACACTGCACCGCACTCCACCAGCCAAAGCTCTCACCTCCACCCCATTGAATACCAGCGATGCAGTCCCCCTGCCGCCAGCACCACGCCCTGATCCCGCAACACCTGATGTGCCACCCCTCCTGCTGTCTCCTGCACCACTGTCGCATAACCCAGTACCTACATATCCACCCAACGCACCACACTGCACCGCACTCATCCAGCAGGGAGTGCACATGAGTAGTTCCAAGGGCAAAGGCAATGGCAGGGAAGCAGTTGAAGGGGATAGGGACAGCGAGGGGGAGGGACGACACAAGACAAGAGAGGGGTGAAGAAGTGAGTGAAGTGTTAGAGGAGAAAGGAACGAATGGTTTGAGTATCGAGAGAGTTGGGTACAAGGATGAGAACCCTATGGGGTTGTACCCTACATTGGCTACCCCACTACAGCCTACACCTAATTATAGTTCATATATAGTTTGACAAGAAGTCGCCAAGAGTAGGGCACCGCTGCAGTGAGAAAGTAAGGCGTGATGAAGTGAGGAGGTAAGGCGTGATGAAGTGAGGAAAGAGGACTTCTTGAATACAGGAGGGAAGGCAGAGTCGCGCAAAAAGGACAGCTCATAGTGGTGGTGAAGATGAGACAACAGTGATGGTACCTGCGATCAGATCTGAACAATGGTGAGGAAATGAGGGGAGAGTGTTGAGGGAGGGAAATAAACAGCCGATGATACAACATCGATGGCGCCCTGCAATCGATACCTACATATCCACCACACTGCACCGCACTCCACCAGCCAAAGCTCTCACCTCCACCCCATTGAATACCAGCGATGCAGTCCCCCTGCCGCCAGCACCACGCCCTGATCCCGCAACACCTGATGTGCCACCCCTCCTGCTGTCTCCTGCACCACTGTCGCATAACCCAGTACCTACATATCCACCCAACGCACCACACTGCACCGCACTCACCCAGCAAATGCTCTTACCTCCACCCCATTGAACACCAGCGATGCAGTCCCCCCTGCTGCCAGCACCACGCCCTGATCCTGCAGCACCTGCTGTTCACACCCCCTGCCGTCTCTTCCACCACTGTCGCATTACCCAGTACCTACATATCCACCGCACTGCACCGCACTCCACCAGCCAAAGCTCTTACCTCCACCCCGTTGAACACCAGCGATGCCACCCCCCCTGCTGTCAGCGCAATGCCTTGATCCGTGTTTGCTCATTCACTCCCAAAACGCTAGTTACCACTCATGTTCATCCATCCACTCATGTGCTATTACCTCCACCCCGTTGAACATCAGCGATGCCACCCCCCCTGCTGCCAACGCCACGCCTTGATCCCGCAGCACCTGCTGTGCCACCCCCCCCCCCCGCTGTCTCCTCCTGCTGTTACTTTCATATCCACCCACCTGTACCGCACTGTACCGAAAAGAGTGCTCTTACCTCCACCCCATTGAACACCAGCCATGCACTCCCCCCTGCTGCCAGCGCCGCGTACTGATCCCGCAGCACCTGCGCACCAACCCCCTGCTGTCCCACCTGCATCGTACTGCACCGCACTCACACAGCTAGTGTACTTACCTCCACCCCATTGAACACCAATGATGCAGTCCCCCCTGCTGCCAACGCCACGCCCTGATCCCTCAGGCTCAGCACCTGCTGTGCCACCCCCCCTGCCGTCTCCTCTCGCCCTGCACTCACTCGCACCAGCTCACACGCTCGGCTGCGACCGGGAAGGGGGAGGGGAGAGAATCGGGGTGGAGGGGTGGGGGGTTGGGAGGGGTGCAGAGAGCAGAGAAGGGAGGTGAGCGTTGGGTTGACAATATATGTATCTTACACACACGCTCGGCTGAGACTGGGAGACGGTTTCGCACTCACTCGCACCAGCTCACACGCTCGGCTGAGACTGGGAGATGGTTTCGCACTCACTCGCACCAGCTCACACGCTCGGCTGAGACTGGGGAGCGAGAGGGGAGAGAGGAGGGGGGTTTTGGGGGGTGGGATAAGTTGAGAGAGCAGCAGCGAAGGGTGGTGATTTCTGGGTTGCCATTTCAGATAACCCACTGTCTCGCCCTCACTCGCACCAGCTCACACGCTCGGCTGAGACCGGGGAGGGAGTGGGGCGAGAGGGGTGGTGGAGATGAGGAGAGACGAGGGTCAGCCCCCACCGCGGGTGGGTTGACGATGGTGGCGGGAATATACAGAGGAGAGAGCAGCAGTGAAGGGAGGTGAGTGTTGGTTGGCATTGCAGACTTTCTCAGGAGGGAGTGGGGAGATAGACGGGTCGGGGGTTGAAGGGGTGGTGAAGGGTTGGAGAGAGCGACAGTGAAGGGAGGTGAGCGTTGAGTCAACTTGACAGGCTTCCTCCCTCATTGCATGCTCTTGAAATGACTTTTGAGTCGACTAAAAAGTCAACTCAATTCAAAAGTCTTCCTCTCGCCCTTCACGAGCTTGAGAATTCTCAAAAGTGGCACCAGCTGGCATGCTTGGCCAGCTGGCATGCTTGGCTGGGGCTGGGAAGGGAGAGGATCAAGAAACGGAATACGGGATGTGGGGGGGATGGGAAAGGGAGGCAGAGGGAGAGGGAGTAGCAGCAGCGAAAAAGGGTAAGGTGAGGGTTGTACAGATTTAACGAGGTTCCTGGAGTTACCTTCCCTCATCACCTTGCCACGCGTCCCATCATCTACCCCCTCTCTTTCTTGCCCCTGTCGCGTCTCACTAGCTCCTGTCGCGTCTCACTAGCACCCGTCGCCACTCACTAGCACCTGTCGCCACTCACGAGCACCTGTCGCCACTCACTAGCACCTGTCGCCACTCACGAGCACCTGTTGCCGCCCCCAAGATGTGTCCCCTCGTCCACCTCCCCCCGGCTCACTTGCTCGCCGTCAACAGTAACCAGCCCCACCTATAATCGACGTCGACTCAAATATCCGCCCGCCCCTTCTTAATCGCCCTGAACAGCCAACCCTAACCTGGTAATCACAAATATGCCAGTATAAGTTTCTACAATACATGTACGAGGCTAAATACAACTTCCTAACAAAACCCTAACCCTAGCGCTAGCCCTACCATCTCCCCGATCTCCCCCTTCGCACCTACCCACCATCGCCTTGCACTTGCCCCTTGCGCCATCGCCTTGCACTTGCCCCCTTGCGCCATCGCCTTGCACTTGTCCCTTGCACCATCGCCTTGTGCAATTACCACCCTGAGCCGCTTCACCTCCGCCTCCTGCCCACTTGAATCAATCCTATCCGCCATAGCTTGCACTTGCCTTTTGCACCATCACCTTGAGCAATTACCTCCCTGCGCCACTTCACATCTAGCCCTACCCAGCTCCCCCACCCCCCCGCCCCTGTACGCCTTCAGCAGCAGCATTTCTTCCACCTCCTGCAGTTACCACCCTGAATTGCTTACCCCAACACTTACCCTAACGCTAACCTAACCCTAATCCTAGGGCGAGACGTACCGTCTCCCCTCCCCCATCGCACCTGTCCGCCATCAGAAGCAGAACTTCCACCTCCTGCCCGCCCAAATCGCCCGCCATCGCCTTGCGCCTTGAGCCTTGCGCCTTGCACCTTGCGTCTTTCCCCGTGCGGCTTCCGCCTCACGCCTTGTGTGCTGCCGCGTTGACCCGCTGTCAAGCCCCCTCCCTCCCTTCTGCTTGCTTCCTCAGATTTTGCACGCCCTGTTCCTCTTCGTCGCCTGGCCCACACCAGCACGGTCACCAACAAGGCTCACCCTCTCTCTCTCGCCTGCCCGCGCCCTCGCCTGCCGCTCAGGTTCCTTCCCTCACGCCGCGCCCCACCTGCCTCACCCTTCGACGATTCGCCACGCGCTGATTGACTGAGAAAAAGCCGACACTGATAGGCCCTGGTTATCGTCTGTGACAGTATCGGGTGGCGCTCAAACTTTTGTTGACCGTATCGAGAGCTGTTATAGCGACAAGTCGATGATGGCATTCACTGCTCTGATGAGTTCGAGGGGCATTCCGAATCCTCGGTGGTAACGGAACCGTTTGCAAAAGACGATAGAAAATGCTCTTCAGCCACATCAAATCCGTCTTACTACAATAGTTTATTCTTCATATCATACAAAACTCTCAAGAATAACTTCAAATTCCTTACAGCGCACCCAGGGCTATTTTTATCAAGATAATTACCCTGATTTCAGGGTGACTTCAGGCTTTCCACTTTGTAGAGACTGAAATTTCAGGATTAATGCGTTCTCAACCCTGATCCAATCAGTGTAATCGTTTTCATATCTCTGATTTTGAGTATAGTGTAACAGACTAGCCTGTGTCAAACTTACATGCTATAGTCTTTGTAGGCTGTAGTGGGGTAGTTCACATAGGGTACAACATTTCTAGGTTTCCTACTTGTACCCAAACTGCTTGCTAGTCAATCATTCCTTCGTTCCTATTCTGACATGGTATCAGAGCAGGTTCCCTCCGTGGGAACGTTTTTTTTTAGGGCCCACCACTGAAACTGTTTAGCCTGCCCGAAGCGCGATGTCGCGCCTGCCTATCCTGCGCCGTCGCGCGCCTCTGCCCTGCTGTCGCGCTAGTCGCGACCCTGCCTGCCGCCCGTTGCGGCCCTGCTCGTCGCGCGCCTCTGCCCGTCGTGCCCCTGCCCGTCGCGCGCCTCTGCCCCTCGCGGCCCTCCTTGCCGCCCGTCGCGGCCCTGCTTGCCGCCCGTCGCGGCCCCACTAGCCGCCAGTTGCGGCCCCCTGCTTGCCGCCATACGTCGCGGCCCTGCCCTGCCGCCCCAAGTCGCGGCCCCTGACCTAATCGCCGCCACTGTCGCGGCCCCCATTGTCGCGCCCCACCCTGCAGCAGCCGTCATGCCTGCAGCACCGGTCGCGGCCCTGCCTTGCCGCTGATGCACCTGCAGCAGCTGTTGCGGCCTCGCCGCCGCGGCCCTGCCTTGCAGCCGCCCCAGTCGCGGCCCTGCTCTACCGCCGCCCAGTCGCGGCCCTGCTGTGCTGCCGCCCCAGTCGCGGCCCTGACCTAATCGCCAGCTGCGGCCCTGCCCTGCACCCGCCCCTGGTAAGCACCCACGCCGCCCAGCCGAGCCGCACCGCTCAGCCGAGCCGCGCCGCGCCGCCCGAGCCGAGCCGCGCCGCCCTACCGAGCCGCGCCGCCGTACTGAGCCGCACTGCCCTGCCCCTGCTGCTACTGCTGTTTTTGCTGCTACTGCTGCTTCTGCTGCTACTGCTGCTGCTGCCGCTATGGCTAGTCCTACTGTTCTTACCTTTGATGCTGAGGGTCGTGCTGTTGACTTCGAGGTTTGGGTAGACGACCTCCAGCTGTTTCTCCAGTGCGACTCCAAGGACGGAGTCTCCCTGTTCGATCACACGTCCGGAGTCTCTCCTGCACCTGCTGCCACTGCTGATAGTACGGTTCGCTCGCAGTGGACTACTCGTGACGCTATTGCTCGTCTTGCTGTTCGTAGTCACCTGCCGTCTGCTGAGCGCGCGCACTTTGGCCAGTACAAGACTGCAAAGTCTTTGTATGACGCTGTTGTCGCGCGCTACTCCTCCCCTGCCACTGCTGCTCTCACCCGCCTCATGCTGCCGTACCTATTCCCTGACCTTGCTGCCTTTGCCACAGTCGCTGACCTCATTACTCACCTCCGCACTAGTGACACCCGCTACCGCGCTGCGCTTCCCACTGAGTTCTGTGCCAAGAACCCCCCCCCCATGTACATCACTCTCTACTACCTAGTCACCCGTCTCCCTGACTCTCTTTCTTCAGTCAGGGACCACTTTCTCTCCCTTTGCCCCACTGAGCTCACCGTTGACCTGCTTAAGACGCGCCTTACTGCAGCAGAGAAGAGTATTGTTGCTGTAGGTGCTTCTCGCGGCGACCCCCGCGCCCCTTTCTTTGAGGGGTGCTCCCCCGTCCCCCTTCTCCCCTCTGTTGCTTCTGCTGCTGCTGTCGACCTCGTTGGCACTGAGGAGGTCGGGGCTGCGTCTGCTCCTAGTGGGAGGCGCCGCAACAGCAAGGGCAAAGGGGGCAGGGGTGGTGGCGGGGGCGGAGGGGGCGGCGGTGGAGGCGGTGGAGGCGGTGGAGGGGGTGGAGGCGGTGGTGGTGGCGGTGGGGGTGGTGACGGGAGTGGGGGCGGCAGTGGAGGAGGTAGAAGCAGCGGCAGCGGCGGTGGAGGTGGAGGCGGTGGTGGTGCTGGCCGAGGAGGTACCGCACAGCGTGGAGGCTTTGGCGGTAGCCAGCGCCAGCAGCAGCCGCGTTCCCGTGAGACCCTTTCGCCCCAGCAGCTGCGTGAGTGGTACGCTGGGCGTGGGAGGGCTGGGGGTGTTGGTCCCTGCACTTACGTTCTTCGCACAGGCGAGCGTCGTGGAGAGACGTGCGGTGGACCGCACACTTCCCAGCGCTGCTTCGGTCGCCTGACTGACGCCTGGCGTGCACAGTTTCCCGACGGCGCTGAGCTCCCCAGCTGGGGTGATCTGCTGAAGCAGAATGTTGCTATCTTTGATCTTGATTTCGCTGCTATCCTTGCTGCCATGTATGCTGTGACTGATAGTGCTGAGGGTGACTGTTACCTGTGTGTTCCGCCCGACCCGGGCATTGAGGCTGCTGCTCTAGGTGCTAGTGAGTCTGCTGCTCCAGGTGCTAGTGAGTCTGCTGCTCCAGGTGCTGTTGAGTCTGCTCTCTCTGGTACTGCACCTACTGAGGCCTTGCACACTTTCACACTTGACTCAGGTGCTTCGCGCTCTTTCTTTCGCGATAGCACCATGCTCACGCCGCTCAGTCGGCCTGTTGCGGTCTCCCTGGCTGACCCCTCTGGGGGCCCAGTCCTTGCGCACTCCTCCACGGTTCTCCCGTATCCTGCGGCTCCGTCCGGCTCGCTGTCTAGTCTTCACCTCCCCTCGTTCTCTACAAACTTGGTGGCGGGTGCTGATCTTCAAGACGGGGGTGTCCACCAGTTCACCCCTGCCTATCAGCGTGTGACGCACTGCACTTGTGCTCGGACGGGCCGTCACCTGGCCACGTTCACCCGTCGGCCAGGGTCCAGCCTGTACACCCTTACCACTGAGTCTCCTCCTGTTACTGCGTCCGGTCAGGTAGCCGCGTCTGGTCAGGAATTTGCTGCCGCGTCCAGGTCTAGTCCGGCGTCTGCCCCCTGCTCGTGTCGACCTCTGTCACACGAGACTCTCCTTTGGCACCACCGCCTTGGTCTCCCCTCCCTGCCTCGTCTCAGAGGAATGGCCTCCCGTGTCCTTGTCTCAGGTC